CGGGGCTTGCAGTCACATAGTCTGAGTTCTGAGCTTGGCTATGCAAGCCTCATGCTTACCCCGAACCCTGGGGGGCAAGTGCTGCTGGCAGGGTGGACTTGCTCTTGCCAGTTCCAGAAATCAGGCCTGTGAGAATGGAGTTACCCCAAGGGTTACCATATTTCAAGTGCCCAAATAGGGGACACTTCCAGGCGCAGGTGGAGGGGATATTTGGGGAATGCTGAAAGGAGTACCTGTGGCAAAAGAGGTACCCCCGGGGAGATGGACTGATAGTGCTGGGGTGGGATGGGCTGGCTTAACAGGGGAGCTCCAGCTGCTGCTAAGAGGCTGCTACCTATGGGGTACCAGTTTCCCCCCAGCATTGGGAAGCCTGCGCTAGCACTCCAGCCCTGCCCCACCCCCGCTGTTCCACTGTGGGAGTGGAGCACACAAAATCTACTAGCCTGTCTGTTCTGTTCCCTCCCCCGCCGCCACCATCCCCCAGGCTCTGGTGTATGAGGGGGATGTGGGGGATTGTCTTTCTGCTTCTCAGTTGGGGGCTACATCGGTGAGGGTTTGATTTTTCTTTTTTGCTTCTCACTTGTGTATAGCTCCCAGCTAATTTCTCTGTGGGTCAGTGGTCCCAGATCCAAAACATTTTCCCCACCTCTACTCTACCCCATCCCCACCCCACAATTCCTGTATCACTCTTCCCCCCTCTTCTTTTGCCCAGCCTATCTTCCTTCCCCACTCTCCTCCTGCCCTAGCCTCTTCTTTCCCCACTGCCTCTTCCCCTAACTTCACCCCCTTTCTCTAATATGCCCCCTGTGGACACTCATCACTATACAGACAAACCATACAGAGCACCCAGCAAACATAGAAGGGCAAGACGACCAACATTAGGATCAAGGAGGTGATGTCTAGCTACTGAGGCATGAGCACCCTGGAGGACAAGCAGCTCCATACCACCTCCTTCAGTACCAGACTCCACCTCTATTGTGGGGAGGGAGAAAAGAAGTGGGGAGCAATAGCCCCACTGCCCCACACTATACTCATGAACTCTAGCCAACACTGGTGGGTCTCATCTTTTGCTGCTCCATTACTGTGCCCTTTCCAGCTCTACACCCTGGACGGTTGCCCCCTCTTGCTACAGGCTAATTATGGCTGTCTTATCTTAAACAGCTATAGTATTAACTCTACCTGAAATGAGGAGGGCTGTGAACTCCAGTATAGATTTGCTCTCTTGCAGATTCTGGTCGGAAAGAATTGCATCTCACCTAATGAAGGGAGGGAAAGACATACATGTGCATTATTTGGGGGACACATTTCCAAAAAGTAGCTGATCCTGATATATGTATTACTATGATATACATGAGATGGCCAGAAACTACACCACGTCCATTTTCTTTCACCTTCATTGACTTCTCGGTCATCTATGTATCTAATTTAAAACCAATCTGATTTTTACACACTCTCCATGGATTCAAGTCTCTAACCACTGTTACTCCCTGTCTGCTCACACAGGTCAGCTAATCCTAGTTTCCTTGCTTGTCCTTTCCCTTGAGATTCACTGAGGATCACCTCTTGTCTTGTGCTACACCATCTGGAATCCCCCGCCCCTCACTCTGTTTAACCACTGTTAATCTTCTTGATTTAAAATCTCTAAAGTGTATCTATTAAGGATGTGACATAATGATGTTTTTTTGTTGATGACTCAAGTATGATTGGGTTATGGAGAATATAGGCAAATACTGAATTATCCCTTTGTCTGCCACATCAGCTATACCTTACTAGAGCTTGTGAGTTGGTTGAGCACCTAATTCTTTTTATGAAATAAGCTGAATTCAGTGATAGTGCCCATACTGGTGCTTCTTTTCTGAAAGTGTGCTGAATATACTGAGTGCACCAGCAGGCAATCCTAATGCACAGCAAACAAAGTGAACAAACTCACTAAGATTTCTCTCTCCTGCATTGCTTGGTTTCACTAAACAACATACTCAAGATAGCAGACTTAAGACCCATTGCTTTCACTCCAGTAGTCTGGGATTTCAGAAGAAAGACTGACAAACCTCTGAAACCCTACAAATGGGGATATATATGGACCTGTGGTGCTCTGGCACCAGGAATATTTCTGGCCCGGAGCTGGGCTCCATTTAAACTTGCCATTTGGGCCTGCATCCCCTGCCCACTCCCCCTTTGCTTGCCCTGGCCCCACCTGCCACCCCTGGGTAATCTAAATTTCTGGGGAGGAGAAGGAACCATTCCCACTGGCAGCACAGAGGGGTTAGAGTGGCTTCTGGTCAGTCGCTCACCCCAGCAGCCAGCATGTGCGTCGCTATGGCCAGGAGTAGAGGGCAGCAGGGTTGCCACACTGTGCACTGCTCTAGAAGTGCACGGAGACCCCTCCCTTCCTTCCCCAACCACAGGGATGCACATGCCAGGAGCAAGCAGTAGAAAGTAGCTGTAACTCTGCTGCACTGCGGGAGGCGGTGGACACCTTCCCCTGGGGCATTTTAACTCACCCTGGATTGGCAGGTGGGGCTGTAGAACACTTGTGGAGAGTGTACAGGATGGCAGGGAGGCTGGGGGAATGTTTGGGGGTGGGGAGAGGAGCGTGGGAATGGGGAGCACCAACAGACCCTCCACACTCCAGGAGCCATTGATGGGGGGAGGAGGGGATTGTAGCACTTCTCATTCATTCTCCACATTCTCTTTTGTGCATCCCATTATCTCTAGTGCCTGCACCCACTCACCCATCCCTGTCTACCCCAAAATTCCCTCCCCCCTCCAATTCCCAAACTTCCTCTTAGAACCTGTACCTAGGACTCCCCCCCCCATCCCATACCAGAGCCAGCACCAAGACTCCCTCCCAGAGCCTGCATCCCTCACACTCTCTTCTGCACCCACATTCCATCCCAGAGTCTTCACCCCAGACCCTCACCTGCACCCAAAACCCCCAAAGCTCCATCTCACATCCCTCCTGCATCCAAACTCCCTCCCTGAGCCTGCCCCTCTTCTTGCCTCCCAATCCCCTGCTCCTTTCTAGAGCCTGCACCCTTTCCCCACACAAGCTCCCTCTCAGGCTACGTCTACACTGGCCCCTTTTCCGAAAGGGGCATGCTAATTTCACAGATCGTAATAGGGAAATCCGCGGGGGATTTAAATATCCCCCGCGGCATTTAAATAAAAATGTCCGCCGCTTTTTTCCGGCTTTTAGAAAAGCCGGAAAAGAGCGTCTACACTGGCCCCGATCCTCCGGAAAAAAGCCCTTTTCCGGAGGATCTCTTATTCTTACTTTGATTCCACTTTGAAGTAAGAATAAGAGATCCTCCGGAAAAGGGCTTTTTTCCGGAGGATCGGGGCCAGTGTAGACGCTCTTTTCCGGCTTTTCTAAAAGCCGGAAAAAAGCGGCGGACATTTTTATTTAAATGCCGCGGGGGATATTTAAATCCCCCGCGGATTTCCCTATTACGACCTGTGAAATTAGCATGCCCCTTTCGGAAAAGGGGCCAGTGTAGACGAGCCCTCAGAGTTTTAGGCATGTGACAGGGTAAAGAGTACGAGTGAGGGAGGGATGCGGGCTTTGAGCATTCTGGCACCACCAAAATTTTAAACCTGCCGCTCCTGCTACAAAGATCTATAGAGGTGGGAATCTGAAGGGGAAGTAATTGATAAGTTGGCAGGCACAGGAGGAAGTCTTGAAAGCTATTGAGAGGAAGAAGCTTAAAAGTGTGTGTGGGGGGAGAGAGAGACAAATAGACAGACAGACATTGTTGTCATGACAAACACGCTCAGGAGCTGGAATCTTTTCAGTGGGAAATGTAGGGTTGCCCCCCTAAAATTTGGGAATGAGAGGAAAGATGAATAAGGTCCTTGAACGGACACAGAAAGAGAAGAAACAATAGTAGGTTTTAAAAAAAGAGCCTTTATTCATCCTATTAAAATCTCTCTCTTTGAAGAAAAAGTCTGGTGTGTGTGGTGGGGAGAAGGTGGTTTTAAACCAAGCAGGCTGTAGAGCAACTTAATGGACATATGCGTTTTCTATTACTCACATGAGCATAACTAAGAAAGAAGAGCTGATTGTGGGTGAATGGAATGCCTGGTAACAAAGCCTCCTCTACTCCTTGTCTTTTTTCTTCTATCCATTTCCGATAGGCCTGATTAGAGAGGTAGAATGAGTACGGTTCAGTAGATACAGAGATCAACAGCGGCTTTTATAATACAATGTTTTACATTCTTTTCCTGAAAGCACAAAGAAATAAAACAGTTGCCTACTGTGATGCGGGCAGGCCAGGTAACAGCTCATGCCAAGATTCCCATGTTTCAAATGGACATTTACAGATACATAGCTGGAATTTCTCTGGCTTACTTGTGGCTTAATGCTTGTGAATTGCTGGATGCATTAATCTCACATGTGATGTCTGTACTTCACGTTGTAATGTAATTTTTGAGTGGTTCTATTGTGAGTCTCTGTGGCTATTTGGGTTTCCTATACAGGAAAGGGGCATTAGTTTGAAGACCTGCTCTTCTGCATAAATTATAATGTCCCTCCAGAAAAAGGAGGTCCATCAATATCAGATTCCACTTTACAACTGGAAACTCCCCACATCTTGATTGAGGAGTTGCCATCAAAAGGATAAAAGATTCTTATTGTTATTATGCTCTCTTCCCCAAGAAGATGAGTCATGCAAGTGGACTCCTCCCGTCATCTGAGTTTTGCAGCTCAGATCAGGTGGCAGGAGATTAATTAAAAAACACCACTGAAAGGAACTAGGTATTTCTATGTAGCTTGAACTTGGGGATAGGTAGTGGAAGGTACTTTCTAGACATAATCAAAAAATCCTCAGTTGCTTAACCTGGGTCAGCCCAAAAGGTCAATAGAGCTTGCTGATTATAGCAATCTATAATCTTTAGAAATCTAAGACTAACAATTCATGTGTCTTGCTTTAACCTTGTAAATAGTTCCCTGTTTTCTTTTCCCTATTTAAATAATTTTCAGTTAGTGTATTGTAGGATTGGCTATGAGCTTTGTTTTTGGTGTGAAACCAAATGTGTAACTGGCCTGGGGTAAATGCCTGGATCTTTGGGGTTAGGATTAACCCAAACATTGCTGTGATTCTTGGTGTAAGAGGCTATCTGTTACAGAGATATGCTTACCCAGCTGGTGAGACAGACCGAAGGGGGATGGTCTGTAACCCCATGCTAAGGCTGTTAAAAGACCTGAGGAGTTTATACTTGGTGCAGCTGGTTGGTGAGATCCAAGCTTAGAACTCATAAACAATTAGGGGATTATTCCCTGGTTTTTAAATAGCCCGCTCCCCGAGGCTGCTATTCATGCACTTACATCACCAAAGAGAGCGTTACACCTACCCTGAAAGCCTCTCGCAAACCACCATTGTCTGCAATGTTTTCTGCCAAAGTCCTCTTCCCTTTTACCTGGCAGAAAGGAAGAACATCATTCATTTTATCTGTTTCTAAACTTCATTTCAAGCCCAACCTACATATATACAGACAAGGAAAATCAAACAGGGGTGATAGGCCAGATCTTCAGCTAGTGTAAATGAATAGCTCTGATGAAGAAAATTGCTTTCCGATGTGGAAAATCAAACCTATATTCATACCATCTCTGTAGTCTCCTGCTGGCAGCTACTCTGACTCTAGGGTAGATCCCTAGACACAGACACAGAAACAATGCATCTGAGAATCTGATCTGTGAAATTTGATTTGAGTATCAATAATTTTTCCATCCATGTCTGTGCTTCTCGTGTTACATCTGGGAATTTGAAAAGTTTTCTACTTATTTGACAAGCTACATTTATTTCTCCACATAACTTTCTTTATCTACTACTGGAGTGACAGTAACTACCAAAGTATAACATAAAACAGTAGAATTAAATATAGATATCAAGGAGAGAAATGCTTTTTACAAATCTAGAAAGAAGGCTCAAACTTTTTTGTTCTAATATTGCTTCCCGAAACCGTAAAAAAAATCATGGTACAAAAATCAGCACTATCTAAATGCTGATAAACCCAATATCCTGATATTACAGTATTTAATATCACTTGAAAAAAGCCTCTAGCTTTCTGTGGAGTAGAGCACTATCTAGTATCACCAAACCACTAAGGCTACGTCTACACTGGCATGAATTTCTGAAAATGCTTTTAATGGAAAAGTTTTCCGTTAAAAGCATTTTTGGAAAAGCGCGTCTAGATTGGCAGGATGCTTTTCCGCAAAAACACTTTTTGCGGAAAAGCGTCCATGGCCAATCTAGACGCGGTTTTCCACAAAAAAGCCCCGATCGCCTTTTTCACGATCGGGGCTTTTTTGCGGAAAACAGTACTATGCTGTCTACACTGGCCCTTTTGCGCAAAAGTCTTTTGGAAAAAGACTTTTGCCTGAACAGGAGCAGCATAGTTTTTCCGGAAGAGCACTGATGATTTTACATGAGATCGTCAGTGTTTTTCCGGAAATTCAAGCCGCCGGTGTAGACAGCTGGCAAGTTTTTCCTCAAAAGCAGATGATTTTGCAGAAAAACTTGCCAGTCTAGACACAGCCCAAGGGTTTTCAAGTTATCAGACTGCTATGGTGATTCATGAGCTTTCTTCCTCCAATTTTTATACTAAAATAAGCATCTTAAGAACCACAGGATCAAGTTTAGAATCAAATTAAATAAAATATGATTCTGAAGCAACAGTTTGAAATTTAGAAAAGGACAAAATATCAGCAGCATGATGATCTAGTCGATGGCTTTTGGAGTAAATGGGAGTCTTTCCACTTATTTCAGTAGACTCTGGATCAGATCTCAAACTGTTGTGGCATATCATTATCATTTCAGACAATGAACAAACAATACATTCAACAACTAACTGTGAGGAGGTGCTGGAGCAGGTGGGGTAATTTTCTTTTAAAGTGCAAATACAGGGAGTAGAAACTGAGTTTTAAGGGTACAGATTTAACCCTAAAAAAGAGGTTAAAAAATGCCAGACCCATAGAAGTCAATGAGAGTTCTGCAAATGAGATCAGTGGTTCCAGAATTACATACCCAGAAATCCTATTTATTCTCCACACAAGAAACTTACAGGTTACACATGCATACATTCAGAGGAGCCCATACTTCTAATCACTACACACATTTCATCTATTTGTATGTCCTTTTTCAATCCTACAGTTGCTGTGGCTCTTTATATACACACAGATATGAACTGCAGAGGATTGTTTTTGATCAGTAACACATCCCCATGTACATGGAGAAAATAGTAAGGGTTGAATGTGAAATAAGCTATAGCTTCTGTCTCTGCATTATAATTTTAATTTATTTTCTGTTTTACTGGGTGGGATTGCTAAATGGATCTAAAGCACTCTATTAGTTTCTTCTTTTTAAGAAAAATTGTAGCTGACACTACATAGCCTCAATCACTTTTCTCTGCTGACATGGTCATCAGAGGGCATTTAACACATACATCCCCTTAGATTACTCCTGTTGCTTGGCTTCAGTCACTCACACGGCCTTCATTGTTGATTTCTCTATGCGAAGCAGTACATGAACAAAACAACAGCTACATTCATCTCAAAGCATTTGTTATGATTAGCCTATTTACTTGTAGTATTTCAACATGTTAGTAATCATGAAAAAATAAGTAAACAAAAACTATCACACACTTAAGCCACTGGTATGTTACATACATTTAAGCCAGCTCTCTTCCAGTAATAGCTATTGTATTGGTTAATCATGCATTTTGACTTCTCTTTGAAATTTTCTTCAGAGTCAGTGGACCACCAGGGGTCTAAATTTCCATTTTTGTCATATTTACGACCTAAAAAACAAAAGACATTTTTGAGAAAAATATAGTTTGCAATATTTGTATCATAAAATGGACATAAATGCAAGAAGGGAGAAGACTGAAACAAATGTATTATTTCACATCCGTTTGTTCACTGTTGCTCATTTGGTTCAATTCACTTAGATTTCCTGATTCTTGTTATTCAGCAGATTGTAGTACTTCAAGAACCCAGCTCTTGTGTTCATGCCACCCAGTGAATGTCAGGAAGATTAGGCATGGCATTCATTTAATAAGAAAAAGGAAGAGTCAGTCCAAGAGGGCATGGACTTGAAGTTTTTGTAGCTGTCATAACAGTGTGACTACATACTTTGTTTTGCATGGAATTATTCTGACACACACCCAGGTTACGTTCTCTACTTAGACTTCTTCCTCTAAAGACAGGACTATGCAGCACTTTAAAGACTAATAAGATGGTTTATTAGATGATGAGCTTTCGTGAGCAAGACCCACTTCCTCAGATCAATATGTGGAAGAAAATTGGCACGACCATATATACCAAACTGATGCAATCAAAAAAAAGTGAACACCTATAAAATTGACGAATCAGATTTTAGAACACAGCAGGGGTGAGGGAGGAAGGCTAGTGTCTGTGAGGTAATGACATTAGGGGTGATAATTGGGGAAGCTAAAGATAGCTTCCCCAATTATCATCCCTAATGTAATGGGTGAGAAATTATCACCCCTAATGTCATTACCTCACAGAGACTAACCTTCCTCCCTCACCCCTCCTCTGTTATTAAATGGCTGTGTCTAGACTGCATCCCTTTTCCGTAAAAGGGATGCAAATTAGACACATCGCAATTGCAAATGAAGCGGGGATTTAAATCCCCCCCCCCCGCTTCATTTGCATAAACATGGCTGCCACTTTTTTCCGGCTCGGAGCTTTGCCGGAAAAAAGCGCCAATCTAGATGCAGATCTTTCGGAAAATAAAGCCTTTTCCAAAAGATCCCTTATTTTGCTTTTTCAATTTTATATTACATCAATATACATTTTAAAAGCAAAAATTAGAAGAGATTCTGATACTACCAAAATATTTTTTTTCCATTGGCCCAAAACATCTTTTTCTCGGAATTTCATTTTATGGCAGTTTCGATTACTTTTACTTTTGTTCTGTTTCAGATCAGGGTGGAGAAATAAAAAAAATCCCTCTTGCTCCTATTTTAGAACAAATCCATGCAAAACTAAAGCATTCTTTTTTACAGTCTTATGGTCCTCTTCACATATATTATCATTGTTGCAAAAATGTATGTATAAAGCAACATTAACACATTTTTTTCAACAATCCCAAATAGAAGAATGATATAAATGTGGACAATTACTCACCATTATTATCAAAACCATGGGTAAACTCATGCCCAACAATTACTCCAATGGCACCATAACTTAAAGACCTATAAACACAAAAGAGCAGTTTCCCCTCACAGTAATATGAATGCGTACTAACCTCAAAGCAGATGAGAAAGAACATGTTTTCATTTCAGCAAAAAAATTATCTAAATGCTACATCCTCAAAGTTCCTCTCAAGGCTTCTGATTATGAAAGGCTGAACACAAAATACCTTGCTTATTAAAGAAGGATAAAAATAAAAACTTAAATGCACTTCTGAGATGGCTAGACTTTCAATACAATCTAATTTCATCATCAGGACTCAAAAAAAGTTATTTTCTAACTGGGAGCTGGAGAGCATTTAGAGTGAAAATATTCTGTTAATGTGGTTCAAGAAAAGCACAAATTGAAGATTAAAAGTGATTTCTAAGATTCCATTCTAATCACTCTTCTATAAGTATGGGACAGGCAAGTTTGCGACTACATGGCACTTAATGTGTGATGCATTAAATAGATTTCCATTGTTTTCAAAAGAGGTAGAAGAGATTATCTACAATCAGATCTACTTCACTAAAGAGCCAGAAAGGAGACAATCATTTCATTTTCCTGGCAAACAACAATTGACATCTTTCTTGTTTGTCCTGTATATATATTTTATTTTCATTTTTCTGATGCTCTTCTACGGGGGGAAGACATGCATAAAATTTTCATTGAAAAGAGGTATTAATGAAACACATACTGTATTTGTTAAGTTATTCAAATGGAACATTAAATATATCACATGTTCAGAAATGCCATACATCAGAGTAGTGTATTTTAGTGTAATAATAGCACATTGCACAGTAACAGAAAAAGGCAAAGGGTTTGAAGTAATATTGTATTACTGGACATAATGATCCATCACATACTAATTGCTCACTTCAGTCATTGCTAAGAACAAGAATGATTAAAGGTTTAGAGAACCTTCATGAACTGGGCTTGTTTAGTTTGGAAAAAAGAAGATTAAGGGGGGACATGATAGCGGCTTTCAAATATCTAAAAGGGTGTCACAAGGAGGAAGGAGAAAATTTGTTCCTCTTGGTTTCTGAGGACAGGACAAGGAGTAATGGGCTTAAAGTGCAGCAGGGGAGGTTTAGATTGGACATTAGGAAAAAATTCCTAACTGTCAGGGTGGTCAAATATTGGAATAAATTGCCAAGGGAGGTGGTAGAATCTCCCTCTCTGGAGATATTTAAGAACAGGTTAGATAGACATCTGTCAGGGATGGTGTAGACGGAGCTTGATCCTGCCTTGAGGGCGGGGGGCTGGACTCGATGACCTCTCGAGCTCCCTTCCAGTCCTATGATTCTATGATTCTATGATTCTATGCTCATGATTCAAATCCTCACCCCCCAAGGACAATTCTTGCCTTTGCTGTTTTTCCACAAAAGATAATATGCATATAATAAAATATTTCCTACCGTGTTTTCTATCATTGCAAGCCTTCATTAAAGAGCTTTGACTAAAATTATACATTTCAACGATAGAAATCGCAACCCATTGCATGACAAATTTGTAATTTTGTAAAATGACAATTCTTTGTACTGAATGTGCAATATGAGGCTTGTTTTCCATATCTAAAATCATAAGTCCTTCTGCAGCCAGAGAAGTGTAAACAAAACAAACAGTAAAATAAATTCAGTTGCAATGTTATTAGCAGCACAGGGAACTCTTCCACAGAAAAGTTTCCAGTTTTTACTAATACAGGTTGAACCATTCTAGTCCACAACTCTCTGGTCCAGACACATCTGTCCTCCAAAATGGTTTTAGTTAGCCAGATGTCCACTCTACATGGGCGCGGCCAAGTTTCCTGCAGTGCTGTAAAGTTTGTTTGCAGCCACCAGTCCTGGATCTCAGTGTTCTGTGCTGTTATTTAGCTTTAATTTAATTCTAAATGACTTCTAAGAGCCCAGTAAGCAGTGGAAGTGTTGGTAAAGCTGCTAGACAATAATCCAGAAAATTCTCTGGTTCAGAACTGTTCAGATCCTGAGGGTTCTGGACTACAGAGGTTCAACCTATACTTATAAGCTGTGTTTCTTGTAAGATGAGCACTTGGGTGGCCACGCAGGAGAGATTCAAATGCAGCTAGGGTTGCCAGATACTTTCACAAAAAATCTTGAACATGGCAGGGGAAAAAACTGGTTGTGCAAAAAAAAAGGGGGGGGAGGGGGAGGGGACCAAACTTGTTGAGTCAAAAAAAAAAAAAAGTTGATTCACATGCTTCCCCCCGTCCCCGCTGGCTTTCCGAGAAAAACAGAAGACACATTTACCGGACTGTCCAGGCGAAAACCAGACATCTGGCAGCCCTAAATGCAGCCTAGCTGACTAGCAGAGCACCCACAGAATGTGTTTCTAATTGCAGTACACATCTGTCCATGCCTTGATGCACATAACAAAAATGTTTCTGCACATAGATGGAAAAAATTAGTGAGAACATGGTTTATAAGTGAAGGATCAAGATATTTTTTCTAGATTACCAGAAGATTTTGTGAAGACTAGAACTTTAACAGGGTTCAAAATTGCTAGATAAATTCATGGAAGTTAGTTCCATAAATGGCTATTAGCCAGGATAGGTAGGAATGGTGTCCCTAGCCTCTGTTTCTCTGCAAATGGATGACAGGAGAGGGATCACATGATGATTACCTGTTCTGTCCACATCATTTGGAGCATCTGGTATTGACCACTGTTGGCAGACAGGATACTGGGCTGGATGGACCTTTGGTCTGACCCAATATGGCCATTTTTATGTTCTTACATTGGGAACCTTCTCTTTACCTAGCATGGGAGCTCTTAAGGTGTTGAATTCAAATGTAAATCAAACTCAACACAATACAAGGTAGGTAAATAACTAGCCATGTCACTCACAAAAAAATGTTTTCCATCTAATTTTGCTGGATAACATTAGGAATACTGTTATCCACAAATCATTGCAATCAACCCAATGATTTTCTAATATGATTATTGCCCTTTAAAATTACCAGCAACATTTATTCGTGAAAATGCAACTCCCAGAAAAATGTCTGTAATTACAAAACCTAATTCAAGAAGTTTTCTGTTCGCAATGCCACTGACTTTACAAACTTCAAACTAGAAATGATGGAGTTTCATAATGTTGCTTGATATACATATATGTAGCCTAATAATTTAGCTTCCAATTATGCATATAGGATAGAGTTGATTTTAATTGAGGTAGTATTGGAGCTGGCCCCTAATAGTGTACAGTGAATAAATATTTGCAAGATATATACCAGCACTTGCAGGAAAATGTAAAAAAGTACAGGTTGCCCCTCCCTAAACTGGGACTCTCTTGTCCGGCCACATCCGTGGTCGGGCAGGAGAGCCCTGGGGCAGGAGGGCCAGCAGCTGAGAGCCATGCAAAAAATGAAGCTGGAGGTAGCAGGGCCAGGGCCTCAGCAGATAGGTGGCAGTAGAGAGGCCAGGATAGCAAGGCAGGGGCAGCCTGTGCATGCCTGCCCAGCAGCAGGGTTGTGCCGCGTCAGCCCAAGCAGGGCTGCATACCGGCCTAGCAGTAGGGACTGAGCCAGAGCAGCCGGGCTGGCAATAAGGCTGGGCCACAGCAGCCCAGCAAGGGAAGCTGGGCAGGTGGCCAGGCTGATTAGGGATGCGTGCCAGCCGGCAGCAGGGTCAGAGCTGAAAGTGGGGCTGGAGTAGCAGTTAGGGCAGTAGGGCCGGGGCTGAAGGAGCTAACGGTGGCGAGGGGCAGCAGGCTGAGGGGCAGGAGGCAAAGGGCCTTCGTTTGTCCCACAAATTCCCTCAACCAGAACCTCTCAGGTTCTGAGGGTGCCCAATGAGTGAGGTCCAATCTGTACTTAATTATTTTCCTGAATCCAGCAATAGCTTGTATGTCTATTGTATGGGACGACAAGAGATCCCAAATATTTCCAGGACAGTGCCAATCCATTTGATGTAGAATAGATTAATTTGTTTACTAAATGTCACTCTGAGGAGTATGCAAGTGAAAATTACTTTTATATGTTAAGAGTAACATTTAAAGAAGAGAAATATATGAAACAATTGTTGGAAAAAGCTACAATTTCAGCACTTTGACAGGAGATCTGGGTACCAGGAAATCTGCTCAGGGAGCAAAGCTGGAATTGACCACTCTGAGATGAGCATAGTAGAAAAGAAGTTAATTAAATAAGCCCTCCCTTTATTCCTAATTACTGCAACAGAAGAAAATTACTTGGCTAATAAGAATTAATCTTGAACACAAATTTATTTGTTCCTGCGTTTGATGCATACCTTTATATTTACTGCCAAATTTCCTATTTAGAGGGATATGCCATTTTTAAATCTAACAATAGCAATTTATTAAATACACCTATCAGTAGTAATTGGACTTATTTGATAGCAAGAGAGCTAACTGACAGTGCAATCAGGGTCTTTTTATTCTTTTGTCCCTCCCCAAGTATGAAAATATTGAATTGCATGAAAGTAGGGACTTTTCACTGAGCATGATTAAAGGTGACCTACAATCATTTCTCTCTAGAGCAACACATAGTAACCAAAGCCCCAGTAGAATTGTTCATGTGCTTAAAGTCAAGCACGTGCTAAAGTGATTTGCTGGATTAAAGCTCATGATCCTCAGAGATATTTATTTTGTTGATGAGGCCCTTAGAGGAACAGCAAGTACTTTGGCCCAAATCCACAAAACTACTTAGGTGCCTAAATGTCTGATTCCAGGAGAGGAGTTCCCAGCTGTATGTCAGAAGAGGAGCTGATCCTAGCGTCCAGAGCTAGGCACCTAACTCTGTGACTCTTAACTCCCTTCTCACCAGTATTTCTCATTGGCTAGTTTAGGGAGCTTCCCACCTAACTCTAGCCCACCTAACATCCTGACTTTTGTGGATCCCATTTTTAGGCACCTATCTCTCCCCATTAGTTGCTTAGGGAACATAGAGGCCTAACTCTGGCTCTGAAGTACAGCCTGTTCCTGTGGTTTTCTAGGCACCTAAAAGTTAGGCATTACAATACTGAGCCTCATAACCCATACATTCCTTTTGTGGATCCAGGTGTTTAGGACCCAATTCAAAACCCACTACAGTCAATGGACATGCTACTATTCAGCAAGCTTTGGAGCTGGTCCAATATTGGTGTAAAAATTTGGTAAGAAAATAATGAAATTTTAAAGTAAAAATGCATTAAATGCCCCTCTCAGCCAGGGCAGGACAACATTCAGTGTAGATAAGAACTTTTTTATTATTATTATTATTTACAGTTCTCTTTTAATAGACTTCATGAATACATTGTGTTCTTCTGCTCACTATAAGATCTAAACACCCTGCACAGACATTATTTACAAATTCCTCAAAGCAATATGTCCTCAGTTTAAAACAACACAGACACACCCACTTCCCCAAAATTAAAAGAGCTATCACACAAGGCAGCAGTTTTTCAGATCAACCTTTTTTTTCCCCCAACAGAAAAAGCAGCATGCAACAAAAGTCCTTTTACCCCAAAGACTCTCCTGTTGCCAGTTTCTTTATGCCATGATTATATATTTCTACTGTATAACATTGTTTTTGGGCTGCTGTATCAATACTCTTTTTCACTTCATGCTCCCTTTCATTTCACACAAGAACTTACATTTGCAACTCTTATTACTCTTCAGTGCCTACTTACTATAGTTTTCTTTTCTTACTCACCTAGGATATTCTGTCCCCCAAAAGAAAGGCTTTTGGAGTTCTCCTGCTGGGAATCCTGTAATAGTCAAAATACAAATGTTAGAAGCAAATATAATCAAGGTGAATGATGAAACCATGGGTGGGTTTCTATGAGGGTTCTGCAGGACAGTTCTTCTCTTGCACAACTTCTAAACAGCATGGTGAAAATTAGCCTGAGAATCTTCCAGACAGACCATAATGCCTCCATGTTCACAGTGCAGTGGCAACAGAATGCTGCACTATGGCCTGGACTTGGATTGTTGTATGTTAGCCTTCTAGACAAGCAGAACTTTCCTCGAGCTTTCTCTCTGGGTTGGGGGTTACATAGATTTGGTGGCTGCACAGCTCTTCCAGTGCACAGGGATGGAGACGCTGTTCGGACCAAGGTTTCCTCTAAGCTGCAGGGCAGCACAGTCCTGCAGCTGCTTAAACACCCCAGCCAATCAGGCAGCTCGCTGTGTGGCGCCCTGAGCACCTGACTGGGCAGGGTTGGTTAAACAGCTGTGGGGTTGTGCTGCTGCACAGATTAGAAGGAACCTTAGTTCAGACCTCAGAGCTGATGACAGTTCACAATGAAAGAGAAACTGAGAAAATGCCATAAAAAATAATTCTGAATATGCTCCCTGGGGCTCCAGTTCTTTAAGGTACTTCAGCACATTCCTATTTTAAACCATGCAAAGAGACTGATTAAAATCAGTGAGTTGTTTAAAATAAGGATATGTTTAAGCCACTTGCTGAAGCAGGATCTGTGGTATGAACAGACTAGCATAGGAATATCCTGCCATACTCAGTAAGTACATCAATTGGAAGTTATTGGTAAAATAACCTGTAGTTGAAAGATCATCAGTGCATACACTCCAGTGAGTGAGCTTCAGGGGGTAGCTGAGTTAATCTGTTCCAGAAAAAAACAGCAAGCAAATGGTCTGGTAGCACTTTATAGACTAACAAAACATGTAGATGGTACCATGAGCTGTGCCCACGAAAGCTCATGACACCATCTATATGTTTTGTTAGTCTATAAAGTGCTACCAGACCATTTGCTTGCTGTTTTTTTCCAGTGAGTGATTTACCCAAGATCACAGACAGTGACAGGAAGAGTACCTAAAACTCATGAATCCCTGGCCCATTTCTAACCTCTAAGCTACATTTCATTACACGTACATAAGTCAATTCCTACTGCTGAAGTTCAGTCTTAGCTGGAGTTAAATAAAGCAAAGGGTTAACAGCCACTGCACCACTAAACAAGAATGTGATGCTGTGCCCAAATATTTCAAAATGGGATGAAAATCAAGCTGCTTATGTACTTATAGAGTTATGTGTGGAGCTCCCTTTTGAAATGACTTGACCTATACCTTCATTTCTCTTTTTAGAGACCCTTAAGCACACAATGTGGCTGAAACAGTGTTGTTTCTCACACTGGTTTCTTGCAATTTCCAACTTTTCCACCATATACTGATTTCCAAAGAATGTCACTACAGGTTGACTCTCTCTAGTCCAGCACTCTGGTCCGGCAACATCTGTTGTCTGGCATGATTTTAAGTTTCTCACATTCCCTTAAAGTTTGTGTACAGCAACCACTTCTGGCTCTTATTGTTTTGTTCTGTTATTTAGCTCTAATTTGCCCTTAAATGTATTCTGAAGAGCCCAGTAAGCAGCAGAAGTGTTGGCAATCCTGCTAGACAATATTGACCTCCTCTGGTTTGGCAAATTCTCTGGTTTGGCACTGGTCAGGTCCTGAGAGTGCCAGACTAGAGATGTTAAATCTGCATTTCAAAACATAGAAGTCTCCTGAACATTAAAGTCAACACAAAAAAGATGCTAATTTTATAAGATTTTAGGTCTTTTATTATTTATAAATGGATCATGGAATTTTGCACAGAAATTTAAACATCAGGAAAGATTTCATCGTTATCCTTCCAGACTCTTTTAAAAGAATTGAGTGTAATTCATGTCAAGTGATGCAGCAAGTTGTATGCCCTCCTGGCCTGCCCATCTGCTGCTTGCTTGTTCTTGCTCCTGTAGCCACCTGTTTGCAATTGATTTATGAAAAGCAACTTTTTGTAAAATTTATTTTCTGGGTTTTTATCATTCCCCAGAAGCTTTTTTGTTGTTCAGAGCATGTTTGGACTCATTATTTTTGTGCTGTAAAAATATAAATTACACTTGTTACAAAGGCTTTCCTGATCTTGCATCAAAGTACAACTCAAAAAATAAGCATTCATATTTCACCGTGTGTATTGTTAAACATCTCATATTAATTTCAACTATCCTGACGAGAACTTTCCCCTCAGCGTACAGCCTAGCACACAGATCACTAGACTGGAAGTCAGAAGATGTAGTCTGGAAAGATTCCTGCCTCTGCCACCAGCCTACTGGTGACATCAACAAGTCACTTCACTTCCTGTACTTCACTTTCTCCATCTATAAAATGGGGATAATGATACTGACCTCTTTTACAAGGCATTTTGAGATATAAAGATAAAAAATTGTACGTGATAGGTATCATCAAATTAGGCCCTGCTTACAAAGCTTCATAAATGAGTTTAGTTGGTGACAAATCACACATTCTGTTAGGATCTGATCCAAATCTTTTTAAGTCAACAGAAAACTCTCCAGACTGGATTGTGGAACTTGACAGTCCAGTCTTCTCTATCTGGTAGCATGCAACACAGATTGTTCATGCAAAGCTCCTCGTCTTTCATTTACTGTCTTGTAGAGGTGCATCCATGAGCACACAATTGAGCCATCAGTGTCAAAAGGCCAAATTCTTTAAGCATTACTGTGGCATAAGTAGCTTTACTCATCTGAGTAGTCTCATTGATTTAATAAATCTATTCATGTGATATATGCAGGTGTCAAACTGTGACCTCAATTTTCTTTTGTGACTTCCATTTTTTGTACCCTGTGTTCCACTTTATGAGCCAACTGCAATTCTGTGTTCAGTGTTGAAAAGCCAGTCTAACCCTGATTAAGCCAGTCCAGACGCTACCCCAACAGCTTGGGGTGTGGCACCCCTCAGAGAAGACTATCAGTGGAAAAGCCTTCAAGAGCCGTCAACTTCGACTGACTCACACTGAGTGGCCCAACACAGGGGACAGTGCTCTTCTTCATGGGGATTTCCATGACTTTGGATTTGCATTTCCCAATTCAGTCAAAAGGTGAAACAGAATCAGAGACTAGATATTAGGAGTGGGCTTCTTTCAGAATAAGGGAGATAGCCACAATCACGAGACAGAAAACCAGGCTGGAGAGTCTGTGAGAGAGGATAGGAGGGATAGTGCCTCATATAAACTGCTGACTAGTCTCTGACTCACAAGAAGCATAAGATCAATCATAGGGCTTTGTCTACACTGCAGGGTTTTTGTGCAAGAAGTTTTTTGCAGAAGAAATCTTCCGCAAAAACTTCTTGCGCAAAAGCGTGCCCAGACCTCAAAAGCGCATCGCAAAAGCGATCTGTACTTTTGAGCAAGAGAGCATCCACACTGCATGGATGTTCTTGTGCAAGAATGGCCATCAGAGAACCTGTGCTTTTTCTGATAGCCTCTTTTTGAGCAAGAAACCTCTGTGGAGCATCCACACCTGCATTTTTGCACAAGAACTGTAGTGCAAAAAGGAGTTATTCCTCGTGGCAAAAGCCCTCTGTTCTGTCGATTTACAGTATTTTTTTTTTTTTTTGCGCAAAAACGCTCATGAGGTATGGACACTCTTCCAGTTTTTGCGCCAAAACCTTGTAGTATAGATATAACCAGGAAGGGTACATCTCAGAACAGTAGTTGTTTTGTGAACAATTGCAACTCTCTACTACTTTCTTAACTGTAAAAGTGACTATTTAAAAAATTCCTTTGATAAATTCCTTTGTTTCTTGCCTGCCTGCTATGTTGTTCTTCAGAAGGTTAACTGAGTTCAGAGCACCCACTCAGTGAGGTGGAATTCTGAAAGAACACATATAAGCAACAGGAGGACTTGGGAGAATTGAGGCGCTGATTAGGAGCTTTAAGGTAGTTTGGCTGAGAAGCCCCATGTCTCAAAGATGGAGTACAGAAACAGGGGGCTGGGAATACGCCTTAGAGCTAGGGCTAGGACAATGTGGTTTTGTCTGCCCCATTTGGCTAAGGAGCACATGGCATCCAGAGGTTGGGCCCTCTCACAACTGTTGGGTGTCTGTTCCGACAGAGGTTTGGGCCAGCTTTTGACACTCAGGATACTTTAAAAGAAAACAACAACCCAAAAGTGCCTTGTTTTACACAACCAGGAAAAGGAAAATACTTTGTCCAAATAAGTGGTATTTTTTATTGCTAAGTGAAAACAATGATACAAGAGGAAAAACTGAAAAATTCAGGCTCAATACTGTAAACGTTGACACATATGAGGCTGTGTCTAGACTACATGGATCCATCAACGGAGCCATGTAGATTAGGGTTGTAGGCAAAGGGAAATGAAGAGGCGATTTAAATAATCGCCACTTCATTTAAATTTACATGACGGCCGCGCTGAGCCGACAAACAGCTGATCAGCTGTTTGTCGGCTCAGCGCGGCCGTCATGTAAATTTAAATGAAGTGGCGATTATTTAAATCGCCTCTTCATTTCCCTTTGCCTACAACCCTAATCTACATGGCTCCGTTGATGGATCCATGTAGTCTAGACACAGCCTCATATGTGTCAACGTTTACAGTATTGAGCCTGAATTTTTCAGTTTTTCCTCTTGTATCATTGTTTTCACTTAGCAATAAAAAATACCACTTATTTGGACAAAGTATTTTCCTTTTCCTGGTTGTGTAAAACAAGGCACTTTTGGGTTGTTGTTTTCTTTTAAAATGTTTATGGATAAAGGTGCCTTACAGGTCCATCTTTAAAATATTTACAATTGTTGCTGACACTACCCTTCCATTATGTATTTGTTGAACCTTCCACCAGTTTAGAATATGATCCCAAAATGTAACATTTTTAGTTTTGTAATTTAATGTACCTGTGCTGCTTTTGAAATGTTTGGCTCTGAATTTATTCTGAGTTTAAAATTCTAACTGGAATCTTTGAAC